TCTCTATCTGCTGAACCGCTTGGGTCGCCTTACTAATTTGCCGGACTTTGCTGCAGCCTCTCTCGTCTTGGTTTGACCATCCGGTCCGAGTGATGTGAGTTGTAGCCGGTCTGGTTCGCTGTTAAGGAAATGGATAACCCCAAATCCTTGATTTGAGACTTGAAATTCAGTTCTCCACACTCTGCCCCCGATGTCTCGACAAGAACGACACCGATGAACTGCGGAGCTCTGGCGGCGGTGCGCTGAGTGACTGGCAAGACTGGAGAGTGGTCACTGCGCAGCTAGAGACTTGGAACCGAATACCTCCGTCCACATGCCCGGGGCTGTGCCGGGGTTCAAGAACGATTCGAAAACAGCCAGCATCGCCACTGAGAGAAGTCGACTACACGTCAATGAGACAAGTCGGCCAGCGGAAAGAGCCCAATGCTTTTGGGTCTTCGGATTGATCCCATGGAGACTGAAAAGACCTTTGCTTGTTTTTCAAACAAAAGCTGACAGTTTCTTGACTTGCCATGCTCTGTGCGTTTGAGCAGAGAGGAATTCGAGACGCCACTTTTCAAATCACGAAAGGATGAGAAAGAAAAGACGAAGCAATACGAGCATGAGCGCAACAGTGACAAACTAGATACAAGTGAATCGACATTAGTCTCTGACCGTCGTCGCCTCGAACTTACAACTTACGAGAGCATCTAATATGTACGGAAACTCTTGAGCCTGGCAAGCACAGATTGAAGGGCTCCAAGATCGGATCCACTCCACTTCTTCCCATCTCTGTCGAGTCTCGTCTCTCATCTCCCAGGTCCCTGCACAGAGCCAGGCTCAGTCGACATCCCGTCGGGATAGTGATACTGTCATCAAGCGAGATACTCCGTACAGAGTGTCTGGTTTTGATGCTTGTGCAAGTTACACTCCGTCCATCCAGTGCTCCTTGCTCTCATTTCGCCGGGGGATGAATTGCTCTGGTCTCATCGATCCGTAGCGCGGGAACAGGAGGGTCGGTCGAGGTTGTTTGGCACAGAGCAGCCAACGTCCACGCCCGCATCTTGCTCAGTCGCAGTTGCGGTCGGGTGAGGTAAGATGTTCGCACAGGTATTGGTACCTCGTCTCGTGAGAGCCCTTGGACTTGGGGTAGGCCCTGGGCCTGGCGGGCTGCCATGCCAATGCAAGGCCCTGGCATCATCTACAGTGGCCTAGTTGATTGCGTTTAACTGCGTTTACCTGCGTAGTCTGGACGTTGTCTACCTAGATGGACATGCATCACCGCCCATACGCCTGCTCCTCCACGTCGTCCGTCCGCTTCAGAGTGTCTAGGCCCGTTGTGTTGAGTATTCCTTCTGAAAGGCCGACAGACCGACCGCGACAGACTGGGGCTTGAACTCAGGCCATGGGCCACCCTGGTCAAGGACAACAGACCCCTCTCTTCATGGTGTTACCCTACGACCTACTCTAACCACGCCCCTCGAGCGACGACACTAGGCCCCGGGAAACGACAACGAAGCCCACGTTCAACGAGGTCCTCGACGTCCATTGCTCCCGTGGCACGCCCCCCCTCTCGATTCTTGACGGTGCCCTTCCCTTCCATTTTGACCACCCTACACCCACCGAACGGCGACGGTTAGCTTAGCCTGGCCGTACCACCCTTCCAGGGCTCGGGTAGCTGGCTGAGAATACCTACTCTCTACGCCCCAGCCCGACCCAATGATCAAGACCGAAGAAGAGACGAAAAAGAGAGGCGAGTGCCGACGGTCGAGTCGCTTACCGACGCAGCCACGGATCAAACTGACAGGGAGAGTAGGAGATGGAGCCTGGAGCTTTGGAGCCGGTACTTGGAGGAAGGAGGAACAGGTTTCGAGGTGCGGACGCAGAAGCAGAGTAAAAAGGCCCGCTGCCAGCTAAGGTAAGGTACGGAAAGGCAATGTGAGGTGAGGTGATGGATGTGCTATTGAGGTTCCCACATGGACAGAGAGGAACTCAAGACAGGGCAAAACGCAGTAAGCGTATCCATACCGTATGCTGTATCCGTACGGCTTGTTGGAAGAGAAAAAGAGAGAGAGAGAGAGAGCGGAGTCATTTGGCACTTGTGAACACAAGGTACTCCGTACTCCGTACGAGTCAATATCTCCACTTTTCCCAGAGGCTTCTTCTCGTTCTCTCCATCCAGAAGCTGAGGATAAGTCGACAGACTGGGGGAGCATTGTCACTTCCGTCCCGGCGTCCACATACGAGAAACAGAGCCCACACCTGGGACTTGGAGACGGGAAAAAGAAAAGATAAACAGCAAAAAGATAGTGTGCCAATTACAGGCCGTGTAAGCAGAGAAAAGAACCAGTGGACCACACACGAGACCCCGAAGGAGTCGTTGGTACCGGCTACATTGCATCCCAAAGTGCACGTCCCATGCCATCCAGACAGACGTTGCGAAATAGACATTGAAGCAAAAGAAAAATAAAGGCAAAGGGAGAAAGAAGTTGAAGGAGCTGACGATGGTTGGGCACCAAGACAAGAAACACAGACAGTACAGTACAGTACGTCCGTACCTTACCTTGGTTCCAGATACGAGTCGAGCGAGGCTGAGCCTCTCCCGACTTCATGTTATCGAGTGCAAATACACATACGTAAGAAGAGCTAGGTAGTTCAGTTCGGTCCATGATTCTGCTCTGCTCGCTCCTTTGGACTCTGGAGCGCGTGTGCGTTGGCTGTATGCGTCTCTCTGTGTGCCGCGGGCCAGTGTGTGTGAGTGTCCAGTTTGTGTGTGGTGTGGCTTCGTCGTCGACAACCGAAGTACCGGGATACTTCGCACCTCAACTTTCGCTCATCTGTCCGCCGATACTCTACCTAGGTACCTTACCTGACCGGGTGGGAAGAAAAAACTGGGTACGTATCTTTTCCGCCAGTCGTCGTTTGAACTCGGGTTTTCCTCTCTCTTCCTTCTCGCACACCCCCCCTCCCCTTCTCCGCTCTTCCATCCTCCCCTCCTTCTCCTCTTCTCCTCCCATCTGGCATCCCATTCAATCCTCCCCCCTGCCCTTCCCACTTGGTAGATACCCCCCTGGTCTCCGTACCACGGTACTTTCGGCCTTATCCTCGCCCTCCAGAATGCTCGTCCCTCACCCTCCCCCAAGGACCCCCTCATCTTCGACCCCCGGTCGGCCGGACTGTCCACTTAGCAGCAGCACTGAACGGCCAAACCCACCACTCTCTGAGCTCCTCCGGGGAGGGGGGGCAGGCCCTTGACCTGTGCCATTTCTCAATCCAAGCCCACCTACCTTGTCGAACGCCGCTACCAGAGTCCGTATCTTTTGCCCGTGAGATACCTCAGTCCTCGCCGCTATACTTGCTCTCCAGCACCGCGCCGCGCTACCTGGCTCCGTACGCAAAGTACGGTATCCGTACGGGCCAGACAGATACCTTGGACAAGAAGAGAGTGAGCGAGCGAGCGGGCGACACAGAGAGAGAGAGAGAGAGAGAGAGAGAGAGAGAGAGAGAGAGAGAACCCTACCGCTCTTCTACACAGTACTCCGTACCTACGAAATATTGCCTACCTAGCTTTCTGCCTCTACTCCGTACGCCTCTGCACCTCTCGCTCTGAGTCTCCGAACCTGGAGTCTGCGCTCTGCTTCGACCTCTCGGTGACCCATGGGCCATGGACCCTGCCCCATGCTCTTGAGCTCTGCCATGTCCGTACCGCTACCGCCGTACCACACCAGCATCGACCAAAGTGCGGATACCGCAGTACCCCAGCAAGGTACCTTTACCCTCAACCCGCACCTGCACCTTGCACTTGCGCCGGCCGGGGTGGGCGTGGACATGGGCGAGGGCGTGTGTGGTGTGGATTGTGGATGTATGGACTTCGACCTGCCTCCTCTTCTTTTCTCACCACCAAAAACAAAACCTTCCCACGCCCGTCTTCTTTCTTTTCTTTCTACCTCTCACGACTCCACCAACCACCTCCAATATTCCACTCAGGATAGCCAAAGAGGCGAGGACGGTAAGTCAGAACTTCTTCTACACTTCCAATGCCTCTTCAACCCTCTTCTTCCACCTCCTCACCTCAACCCGCCTAACCTCCATCTACCCTCTCATTCCTCTGCTGCACCTCCTGCACACCCGCCCCCATTCTATATATGCCAAACTCCTAGCTAATGTACCTGCATTAGAAGAGTTGGGCAAGCTCGACGAAGAAAAAAAAAAGAGAGACGCAAAGATCAAGGAAGACCAAGACGATCCACCTGCTCTCCGCGAGTGTTTGTGTGCTGTGTCTGGTACCTGCCTGAATAGAGACCTCCATACAAACGGCCCTCCACCGCTTGTTACTCAGCCCCGATTTCAGAAGAAAAGGGCATTCCCTCGCTTCGCATCGTCACCGTCCTCGGCTCCTTTCGTGCAACCCGCATTGCATTCCGAGAGACTCAACACAAGTCTACTCTTCTGCCACCTCGACAAACGTCCTCTCCATCAGTCAGCCTGCACCCTTAGGCTTACTACTGCCAATTCGACAAGACACCGCAATTCTCAACCCGCCGCCGTCTCCATCAACCTCGGATGCTACGAACATAGAATCTCCTGATTTTTTTTAACGACTGCCTACGACGACCACGACCGTCCTGATCTGTTTCTTTTTCAAAAGAATCATTGTGTTGTACGGATTGTTCTGTTCCCACCCTGTAGCACCGTCACCGCCCGAAGCCACTGCAGTCTTTGCGCCGCCGAGCCTTGCCAATTGACCTTGCTCCAAGCTTCTCGAACATCCAATCCAGCACCACGACAAGACTCCTCGAAAGAGATTTTTTTCTCTGTTTCCGCACGTCTGAAATCCTGCTGCCGCCATAGTTCCGAGGTTCGCTAGGCGACCCGGACTTCACTGACCTCTGGTGTTTGGTGGTAGAACCTTCGGGGCAACAACCGTGAAGCTGGATTTACCGTCGATTTCTTCAGTGCAAACCCGGGGACCGACCGACGTGTCGTATTACAACGCTCACGCGGCTCAGAGGCCGTCGTACATGAACAGCGAGAGAGTGCCGTCTCTTCCATTGCCCAACTTGCATCAGGCGTACTCATCGGGTACCTCGTCACCCCGGGTCAGCTCCATCGGCTCCGCTTCCAGCTCTCACGCAGGTTCGCAGTCGTCCTTCACGTCGGCCGCATCCTCCCACGGGCCCAAAACACCTTCTCCCACCCTGCCTATCAACGCGGCGATTCCTGGATCTTCCAGTCAGTCAATTGGTGGTTACGAGCATTACCCCGCCATGAATCAACCTGCAGCAGACATGTACTATTCGCAACATATGTCTGCCGGCCAAGCGCCACCGCCCCAGACCGTGACCTCCGGCGCAATGTCTTACCACACCCAGCCACCGCCGTTGCAGCCAAGCCATCTGCCTCAATATCAGCAGCAGACTCAGTACGGCCAGCCGTACGGTTATTCCAATGGCTTAACTTCGCCCCAAAGCGCTCCCGTGAACAACGGAATGGGTGGACAAAACGTGCTGCCTCTCCCGGGTGTCAACCCTGGAAGTTTCCAGGGCTTTGACACCACTGGCCAAGTCGCTCCGCCTGGCATGAAACCCAGAGTAACAGCCACTTTGTGGGAGGACGAAGGCAGCTTGTGTTTCCAGGTAGAGGCACGGGGCATCTGTGTCGCACGCCGCGAGGGTAAGTTCGATTGGCATATTTGATGATTGCCGAAGCATGCTAACGTGTACACTAGACAATCACATGATCAACGGCACCAAGCTGTTGAATGTCGCGGGAATGACCCGTGGTCGCCGCGATGGCATTCTCAAGAGCGAGAAAGTGAGACATGTCGTCAAGATTGGCCCTATGCACCTGAAGGGTGTCTGGTGAGTTTCATGTGCCCCAAGACAAACCCGCCGGACTTGGTCTAACGAGGAAAAATTACAGGATCCCTTTTGAGAGGGCGTTGGACTTTGCAAACAAGGAGAAGATCACCGAACTGCTCTATCCCCTCTTCGTCCACAACATTGGCGCCTTGCTCTACCACCCCACGAACCAAACCCGCACCAACCAAGTCATGGCTGCAGCTGAACGCCGCAAGGCAGAGCAAAGCCAGATGCGCGGTGCTCCCCAGAACGGCGCCCCTGGGCTGCCGTCTATTCAGCAGCACCATCACCATTCTATGGGCTTACCCGGACCTCAGCAACCTCTGCCGTCCCATGCAAACATGGGCCGTCCCACTCTTGACCGCGCCCACACGTTTCCTACTCCCCCGACTAGCGCTTCTAGCGTGATGGGTGGCAGCATGGGCGCCTCAGACAACGGATTCCAGTGGGCTCAGTCTCAAGGAATGGGCAGCGCGCAGCCCCAGAACCCCATGTCTATTGACACCGGTCTCAGCAATGCCCGCTCCATGCCCGCAACTCCTGCCTCGACACCGCCCGGCTCCACCATCCAGAACATGCAGCCATATCAGACCGGCACACAGCAATACGACAGCTCAAGGGCCATGTACAACCAGTCTTCTCAGCAGTCCCCTTACCAAACCAGCCAAGGCTCGCAGGATCGCTCCGTATACAGCCAGAACGACCCATATGCTAAGAATGATATGGGTCCTCCGTCAGCACGGCCCGCTGCGACGAGCGCCTCTCAAGATCAGAAGCCCTCGAACGGCATCATGCATCCCGATTCCAATGCCCCTCAGCCTGCCGGTGAGGAAGAGGCTGACCACGAGCACGATGCCGAATACACCCACGACAGCGGTGCCTATGACGCCAACCGTGGATCGTACAACTACTCCGCTCCTGCCGTTGGATCGCTTCCCACCGAACACCAGCACCTGTCTCCTGAGATGACAGGCTCGCCCAGCCACCCTCCTGCATCCGGTCGTGCTACTCCCCGCACTGCCGCCGCACCTCAGCCCTACTACTCCCAGCAGGCTGGCTACAGCACGCCTCCGCGTGTTGCTCAGCAATCTTCCAGCAACCTCTATAATGTAATGAGCAACGACCGCAACTCTGCAGCTGCGGGTGGCAACAGCGTTTACCAGCCCCAGTCCGATATGAACTCCATGCCCAACGGCTACCCCTCGCAGATGAACGGTGCCTCGAGTGGCATCAAGCGCGGTCGTGATGATGACGACGACCTGCAGCGTCCGCTGAGCGGTGGCGGCATGGACATGAAGCGCAGAAAGACGCTCATGAACTCGGCTGTCCCCACGTATGACACCATGGCTCGCGCTCCTCCTGTTATGGCTCAACAGCAGCAAGGAAGGTAGTGGCGGCGACGTTCGGTCACTCCTTATCAGCCCAAAACCTAGTCACTTCATTGGTGGGCGTTGTGGCTACATCTTGTTTGAGGCATGATGATAAACTGATTATGATCCTGAAGTCTCGAGCGAGAGGCTTCTTGACATTCATTGCACACCAATTTTCTTATTTGTCTTTTTATTCGCGAGACGACTTTTCGGCATCGAGGACCCATTGGAGACGACGCTGACGAGTTGACGACTTCTCATTCCCTGTTTTTTAAACGCCCATCACGGCTGTAGATGCTGATGAATGACGCCTTGCATGGGGGAGGACGTAATCCTAAAGACTCGACCATTCTTCTTTTTTCCGGATCTTCGGGACAACATACACGAAAGAGCACGGTGGGGTTGGAAACTACGGCCTGCTGGCCCGTTATGACACTCGGGTAATGCGGCGTGCGAACACCACATCGGAGGACGGGCCATCAACATCACCAACATCTTTTCCTTTGCTTTGGTTTCGAATACAGTGGAGGATCATCTGGTACTGAAATGTGCCAGACATGGGGGATTAGGATGATGACCTTATGACGATTTGTTCCTTTCACAAAAGTGTGAGACGTGTGTTGGAAACTGTCTCTTTAGGTAATGACTTGACGAATGGAAATAAAAAAAGCTGTTGCTGCTTCAGAACCCCAGATCTCGGAAATCGTGAACTTTTTGTGAAGTCGAAGGGAACTTCTCCTTCATGCTAGTCGGATGAGCGGAGTGCTAAAGACAAAGCCAAGCATCAGAACGAATCTGACTGACGATTGAAAGATGTATACATTGATCTCACGGATAGAGATTTGTCTCAACATCGGCCATTCATTATGTCCTGGATTCTTAAGCTTCCAGTCCGGGTTGACTTTGGGAACTGGGAGCGGGTGATATGCGATGGAAAGGAATGACACTCTCTCGGCTGCGAGACGACTCGAATCCCGTTCCAGGCTTATGTGAACAGAGTTGGAAATCAATGCACGTATTGGTAGGGGAATACAACAGATGTCAAACCAAATGCATCTTGATGGAAACACCGGAAATTGCTACATCTTGCCTCAGGTAGACGTTGGTGAGTCGTGACTGATGTAAGACGGGAAGGAAGCCAGTACCTCAGCCCGTCGGCTAAAACCCGGACCGCATGCCCCTCCACTAGCGCTGAGGCACCATTACCACCTGCGTCGGTGCTTAAGTAGGTAGGTACCTTACCTTACCTCCCTCGAGCTAAGGCAGGCCAGCTCAAGTATTATTCTGCGGCTCAACTCGGGCTTGGAGCGACAGTCCTATCTTCAACTCCCACTTTTACTTGCGGCACTGCTTTTGCCTTCGAACACATACGGAACTTGGAGACGAAATATTGGCATTGGATATTCTTCAATTGATGGCCACAAAGTTGCTGACATAGTTTTACGTTGCGACGCTATCCTTTTACAACTCCTACCTCCGATCACGATCGAAACCGACTGGCCGACCGAATTACAACATGGCAACTCCGACGCAGATGAAGCATGCGGCTTCTCAACAGGGTAGAACCCCTTCGCAGCTTACAGCAGCCACTCCGCCGGTATCGACGCCATTTTCGGCATCGCAAGCGCATACAGCTTTCTCGCCGAGAGGACCTAAGTCGTCGCCTCAGCAGTTTAAGAAATCGCCAGCGACCTCGACCACTTTGATGGGCCACCCAGCTAATGGCGCTCTGAACTTCGACAGCCCATCTGCAGCCGCTGCTATGGGCGCGCTCGGGATCAGTGGTGGACTGGACATGGGACTAGACCACGCCGGGATCGCGGGCTTCGGTGGTTTGGGAGCATTGGGCAGCGAGGACGACAAACTCAAGAGGTTTGATGCTGTGATTGAGATACTGAGCGTAAGTCAGGGCTGTTTATGCCTTGTGACGGGAATGGGACCTAACGAAATCCTTGTAGAAGGCAACTGGTCGAGTCAGCGAAGCAGGCCTCGAACGACTTACGCTCCGAACTGGTCTTACCAGTATGTGGGATGAGCATCGGTCGCCCGACGGCAGAAAAACAAACATGCTTGTCATCGCCGGTCAGGCTTTGACGATCGATATCGAGCTGAACAACAACATCGTGGAGAACGTTTCGCTGGGATTCCCGGAATCAGGACCAGTTGTCACGAGGCATAAGGATCTAGCTGGCAACATCCTGCTCAAGGATCTGCAACTTCGCCCCGACCAGAGCCCGTTAACCAAGACTTTGAAAGCGTTCTCTGCCAACCTTGAACGTCTGGCAACTCTCGACAAGCTGAGCGTCATTCCGGGATTTGACTGCCAAGAGGCTCTAGCTGGCGTCTTTGAGAGTCTTGAAAGACTCCACAAGTGGGAAATGTCGAAGCTGCGGGAGGATCCTGCCATGAGCGGCAAGCCCGAACGTTTCCTCGAGACGACTGCAATGTGCACCAAGAGCGGTTGTCCGAGGATGCATTCGAGGGGTATGGTGGGACTAAGCATCGAGTACTGGACGGAGAGACGCCATGTCATCCCCAAAGCACCAGAGACGACGCGCTACTGCGAGAACATGGAGAAGGCCTGGTCGATTCTCATAGGCTGCAAGGCGTTGGATGGCGACTTGTTCCCTCCCGCCCGGCTTTCTGAGAATTGGATTTCCCAAAAGGTCGAGAAGACCGAGCCTGGACCCGAGGATCTGCTCGTTGCAGCTTCTGGGCCGGCTCTTGACTGGCTGGAACCGGAGCCTACGACGCTGCCACAGACGGACGACAATAAGGATTCGGGCATCGACGTGGTGCAGGCGGATGGCACGACGCACAAATACCCGAACGTCAAGTTTGTCGCGACACTCACCCCCTCAGTCATCGTGCCGCAGTCGGTATGGAACACACTGCACACCCTCACAGGAGCCCAGGCTCAGCCTATGCCTCTGCCGACCTACACATTTGACAGCATATCTTTTCCGATACCCGAAGGAAGTCACCACGACGCAAGCGAGCTTAGAGTCATTTCTTGCGAGAGAAGAGTTCCGATCCCGAGCAATGATAGCACCGTCTCATCCCGGAAACACAAGAATACGCTACTTATCTACAAACCAGTGTATGGGCAGACAGTCACTGAACTCTCATTCTCGCACCCAAGGCAGCTAGTAGCAATGCTACCCATCCTTCGTCAGTATGCACTGATCTCGACGTTATTGGAGAGAAGCTTCGGTTCTGATATCTCGGGCGAGGCTCTGCCCGAGGTTCATGAAAACATCACGATGAGTGATACGACAACGACGCAGGCCGAATACGAGAGATTCATGTCCAAGAGCTATGACGAGAACGAGCAGGAGCTTACCCTAGACGTGGTGCTGACTGTCCATCCCTCTGCTGGTTTGCATATCGTCTTCCCTTTCCGCGGCGCAACGGCCAACGTGGATCTGCAAATTCAGCAGAATGGAGTGGTACACGTTGTGTCACAGAACATCGTGCCGGTCGACGGTAATGACGCGGCAGAGACGGGCAAGGGCAAGGGCAAGGGCAAGCAGTTTACCCCGCAGGACTTGGGCAGGTTGCTCGAGGTGATGGAGGATCTCTGCTCCTGGGCAGAATGGATTCGAAAGAACCTGTCGTAAGCTTGCTCTCTGCCGAGACGGACGATCGAGATCGATGGAAGATCGAGATCGATGGAAAGGAGGGCAAGATCGATCACAAAAGGACCACGGCCGGTAGAAGCTTATGACGTATGAATAGGCTTTTGGGGGATTTGTTTTTGTTCTGTATAATTGATACCCGGGCGGGATCAACGGGGCCCCCAAGTTGACCCCTCCCGTCTTTTTCTCGCCAGACAAGGAATGGGAAGTGAGCTTCTGAGTTATCTCCCATGGATACGGACCTTTGGAAAAAGGCAAGGCTAAGGTAGAGGATGGGAGATGGATGAGCGATGCAAGCTGCATGATTTGGGGTTGGTTCGGTCCCGAGGCGTTGGGTCTTGGGTTTCTTTGGGTTTGACAGCGGGGGTAAAGGTTGGCTTTTCGCCTACTTGGTTTTAGGCTGCCCGACGACGTTCAAGAGGAAATACCTACTTAGTCGATAGTGTGAGCCCAAACAAAGGGAACCACTTTGGTAAACATGAACCAAGCTGTGAGGCGGTTCATGCCCACTTGTTCTCCAAGCTTCACACTCTCACAAACTTGTGCATGAAGAAGAAGTCTCAAAGAAGAAAAGTGTGATAATGACGTTTTCTTGCCAAGGTGGTCTTGCCCAGTAAATCCTGTGAGTTCCCCGGGCCGCCCGACGGAAGACCACCTTTAGCGTGCATGGCTCCGTGAGATGGGGGATGGGGATGCGGTTGCGGGTGCGGTTGTTGATGTTGATCTGTTGATGTGATCGACAGGTCTTGCTGCCTTACCGAGAAGCCGCAGCCTGCTGTGACGTTTTTTTTTTTTTGACACTAGTGCCACTGTCTTCCCCGCGCCCCGTCTTCCCTACCCGTGTGCCTTACTTACACACGTTTAATTTGGGCATCTCTAAGATGTGGGGCGATGATGATGGGCTGGATGCCAGTGGTGAAGTCTATTTCGGATCGTCGATGAAAACTTGCAAACTTGCGAGAGAGCCCTTGATGTTTTGGATTGCGAGATTGGTTTTCTTTAGTTTTTCGGGGTCTCTGGGTCGGAGTGAGAATGGCCTGGCCTGGTATGGGTGGGATTGGGCTTGGGCTTGAAGGAGGTTTGAGTCAATATGACCAGCCTTGAGAGAAGAAGGGGTCACGAGGTTCGATGTTCGGCATTATTGTTGACGAGGGGGCGGTACATCAGGGAGGAACAGCCGGGGAAACCGGAGGGGTGACGGGGCTGGAAGAGTCGATGTTTTCCACCTCGTCACCCTCTTGATTCACAATACTGGATTTCTTTACCCAGCTGCCACTGACTGCCTTGCTATATTTACCGTGTCTACCGTGTTTACCGCGTTGGAGGGTAAGTGTTGCAATAATCTTGTCCTGGCACAAAGGCCTACCTGAGACGTGGCCTGTT